AATTATATAATTTTGCCATTTATATATTTATCCCTAAAATATGAACTATGAGGAATATAATTTCTGTCCTATTTTATGTTCAGTATTTGTGCACTGTTCAGTCTGAATTAGGCTCTGAAGAAGTGTAGTTCATTGGTTGGGTAATTGGGCACTTTGTTGTTACTTCATGGGTCATCTTATTAATTTTGCCTTTTCAGTTAATGGAGAATCATCCTCATCTGCACCAACTGATAATGCTTCCGCCATGGATATTCCTGTAGCATCTGAAGAAACCACTTTAACTTCAAATTGCCCTAGTGCTACCATAGAAGATCCTCCCATTCAACAGATAGTGGCTTCCTCAGAACACAGTGAAAGTGTTCCTTCCTCCAGTGCAGAACTGGAATCTGAAGCTAGGAGCATATTAGACCCTGACTCCTCTAATTCTGGAAGTAATGCTGCTTTTGACAAAATTAGGCATCCAGATGGGTGTATGGAATCTATACGACAGCAATCTGGAAATACCAACACAGAATCTTTGCCATCAGGGTATGTTAAAAATTCTTTTTGAGCATTTGACTTCTATTTAAGTAGCAATTTTTTGATGATACATGACTATTGAATATGTATATGAAATATTTCTGTTGTTCAGAAATTGGAAACCTAAATTGGAATATGATTCTTACTGTTTATTTGTTCCAACACAAATACTTTTGGAACTAAAAGCAATTGCTCATCTAGTTGATGTACATATAATATAAAGGGAAAAGAAAAAGCTGATCTGTTAATTTATTAAGACTCTTGATTTGATTTTTACTTTTTAGCTAAAGTGACCACGGTATTCTGTGTAATAACCACAATTCTCTAGCTTCCCGTATGATCTGCTTTATAGCCCTGACACTTGAGAACAGCTGACCATTCCTTCCTCAGTTAATATTGAGTGCTGAGAATAGTAACCTAAGCCTACGATTGGCTCTAGTACAAATGTGGGTTTTTATTGCTGCTTAGTTTTTCTTAACCTTCTGTAAGTTTCCCTCTGAAATTATTTAGATCCTTGTGATTTTCTTGATAGAGTATTCTGTATGTGAATCCCTTTTGGTCATCTCTTCCATATTTACTTACCTATTTTTTGGTGCTGGTTGCCACTGATACTACTACTAATAGTTAATCATTCATTGTTTCTGCCTTTAAGAAGCTTATGTATAGGTTTAGACTTGAAAACGTCTATATTCAGTATAGTTTGAAAGTGCTGTCATGAGAGCGTAGACAAAGTACTTTAAATGCATCTTGCAGTAGTCAGAATGTTCACTCGTAGCTGTTGAAACTGCCTAGAGATCTCTAGTCTCTAATGGCCTTCATTTTCTCATCACAATAACTGTTCATACTTCCTTCTTAGTTTTGGAATGGTTTTTCTCAGTGGTCTTTACTGTCTCATCTGATCATACCTATGACCTTGTTGTGGTTTCAGCCTTTGGCTTTCTGCTGTATGTGCTTACCCGGGTAGATCTTGTATTCTGTGTCACTTCAGCAGTTAAATCTGTATATATTTCTAGGTCACACCTTTCTCTAAGCTTATTTTCAGCTCTTTATGGGGATCCTCTCTTCTATTTCCACCAGATACTTCAGACCCTATGTTATCTTCCACTTCCCCCTGAGAAATCTCTTGTCTTGTGTCTCCTATGTTTGACAATTTAGTCATTTATCCCCATTCTTCCTTGTGCTGGTTACTCTGATGCAGATGTGAAAGAACCTTATTGTCTAATGAGGGGTAAACAGTCAGTGACTATACTACAGTTCAGTTAAAGTTGTGCCAGCAGTACGTTTAGAATGCTGTGGGGAAGGAAAAAAGGAACATGCATAGAGTAGAGAAGTGGAATAACTTATGCTGTTGATGTCAAAGAATAACTCCTAAGTGGGTTTCTGAAAGAAGAGTAGAAGTTAGCAAAACAAGTAATGGAGGCTCTTCTGAGAATGAACTGCATATTGATATTTCTAGCATCCTTGAAATGAGTATACTGAACTCAGGAATTAGTATTTTGTTATTCAGCATTTTCAGAAGCAAGGAATATAATGCTGAAGAATGAACAGTCCTCTGAAGAATTTTGTATGTTTGCCAAAGGTTTAGGAGGAGTTTTTCCTGAAAAGTGATGGATAAACACTACAGAATTTTAAAGCCAGCTATGGTGGCACACACCTATAATCACAGCACGCTGGGAAGCTGAGGCTGGAGGATGGCAAGTTCAAGCCCAGCTTGGGCAATTATAATGAGACCCAGTCTCAAAAATAAAAAAGGGTTGAGGATGTGGCTCAGTGTGAAGGCCCTGGGTTTAATCTGCTGTATTGCCACCCACACAAAAAAAGCAATGACATAATCATATTTTTAGTTTATGAAGACCATACCTACAGTGATCATGGACAAATTAGGAATTAAGGAGTTAAGATAGCAGCCAGGTTGTTTTATTATGCAGAAAGCAGGCATTCTGGTTTAAAACAGTAATTACATAAGCTTAATTATGTGGAGCCAAATAAATGCTTCGGCATGCCTGTTGCCACTATTTATGATCTTTTCTGCTGGGAAAACTTACAGTAATTTCGATGAGTGTTTTTTAGATCATAAGTTGCAACCTATTAATAGGTTATGATCAGCATTTGAATATAAAGGATCAGTGAATCAGAGTTGTTTCTTTGAAAAGCTGTACAAGATTGATAAATGCTTAGCCAAGTTTACCAAAAGAAGGAAAGAAAAAACCCATATGGTTACAGTTAGAACTAAAAAAGGTAAAATCAGAAGGTACACCATTGAAATTGAGAGGATTATAAGAAACTATATCAAAAACTTATATTCCAATATCATTCTAAATGGGGAAAAACGGAAAGTATTTCCTCTGAAAACAGGAACAAGACAAGAATATTCACTCTGACCACTCCTGTTCAATATAATACTTGGAAAGTTTAACTAGAGCAAGAAAAAGAAATAAATGGAATACATATAGGAAAGGAAGAAATCAAACTGTTTTTAGAAATGACGTGATTGTTAAATTCAGCAAAGTAGCAGAATACAAAATTAACAAACAAAAATCAGTAACATTCCTGTACACCAACAAGGAACCCACTGAAGAAATCAGGAAAGCATTCCCATTCACAATAGTTTAAAAAAAAAATTAAGCATATAGGAATTAACCTAACCAAGGAAGTGAAAGACCTCTATAACAAAAACTGCAGTATTCTGAAAAAGATAAAAGAGCACATCGGAAAATGGAAAGCCATCCACTGTTCTGGATAGGCAGAGCCAATTTTGTCACAATGGCCATGTTACCTAAAATGATACATAGATTTAATGGAGTCCAAATCAAAATACAAATAACATTCTTCATAGAACTAAAAAAAAATCCTAAAATTTATATAGAACTAGAAGAGTCCCAGAATAGCAAAAGCAATCCTGGGCAACAAATCAGGAAGCATATAATACTGGATTTCAAGATATATTACAAAGCTATGGTAGTTAAAAACAGCGTGGTACTGGCACAAAAACAGACATGCACAGCAATGAAACAGAATAGAGGATCCAGAAACATTCCTAGGCACCTTCAGCCATCTGATCTTTGACAAAGGAACCAAAAATAAACATTGAAGAAAAGATTTCCTCTTTAACAAATGATTCTAGGAAAACTGGTTATCTACATGCAGAAGGATGAAATCTGATCCATATCTTAACCTAATATTAAAGATTAGATATTAAAATAGAAACAGTCTACTGGAAGATAAAATAGGTAAAACTCTTGAAGACATAGGTGTATGCAAGAACTTTATGAACAGAACCTTATTTGCTCAAGAAATACCACCAGCAATCAACAAATGGTACTATATCAAATTAAAAAGCTTCTGCACAGCAAAGAAATAACAGAGTGAAGAGACAAACACACAATGGGAAAAAAAAATTGTCAGCTACTCCTCAGAGGACTAATCTAAAATATATAAGGAACTCAAAAAATTATCCCCTTAATAGAAAATCTCCCAAAATTAGCCCCCAAATAGAAGACCCAATCAAAAAATGGGCAGTCAAAATGCAGAGATACTTTAAATGAAGAAGTACATATGGCCAGTGGGTATGTAAAAAAGTGTTTATCATCTTTGGCTATTAGAGAAATGCAAATGTAAACAAAACAAATGCTGGTGAGGTTGTAGGAAAAAAGGAATTCTTTATTGTTAGTGGAGATATAAAGTAGTGCAATCACTGTGGAAAATCAGTATGGAGATTCCTTAGAAAATTAAAAATAGAGATTCTAGGGCCGGGGATTTAGCTCAGTGGTTCTGCTGCCTGCCTTGCAACTGCAAGGACCTGAGTTCAATCCTCAGTACCAAAAAAAAAAGATTCTATTTGACCCAGCTAAACCTCTTTCCGTTATCTTCCCAAAAGAGTTAAAGACATCATGTTACAATGATGTGTCATACCAGTGTATATAATTGTACAACACATAATAGCTAAGTCTTAGAAAAAGCCCTACCTGCCCATGAACAGATGAATAGATACAGAAAATGTGGTATATACATACACAATAGAGTATCCTACAAAAAGAAGGATAAATTTAGAGTCATTTTTAGGAAAATGGATGTACTGTGAGGCTACAATGCTAAACAAAATAAACACAGGTTAAATATCACGTAGATTCTCTTATAAGAGAAACCTGAACTATAAATAATTTAAGGAGAAAAATAAAGAGAGATAGGAAACAGGGGAAGTAGACTTTGTGGAAATGGAAAGGGGGTTCTGGTTGTGAGCTATTGTTGAGAGAAGTTGTGTTTTAAAGTGTGCTACAAATCACAGATCATTAACATAAACTTTTGCCAGTTTCACTGGGGTTACACTACTGTGCAGCTTCAGATTCCAGCTTTTTAAGAAATGTCACAGGAGATGAAGCTTGAGTCTGTGGTTATAATCTTGAGGTCATGGTTCAGAGTTCTCAATAGAAATCACCCAGTTCTCCTGCAAAAATAAGCATGTCATCAAGATTCAACACCACAGTGGTATCAGTTGTATTTTTTTACTTTGATGGAATTGTGCTAGCTGTTTGTACCCAGGAACACTGAATATTGAACTCTGAATATTACAAGGGCTTATTATAGCGGCTAAGAAATGATGTGTATAGAAAAAGGCATACTTGAGAAATGGGCAGATGGTTTCATTCTCCAGTGTTCCATTTCTCACATCATTTCTTTTATGGCTGTTTCTGCCAAATAAAATGTCATGATATTTCCTCATATCTTTGTCACTAGGACTCAATACCCCACACCAAGTTGAAGTAGGAGAGGTTTATTTTGGCTCATGTTTCAGAAGCTTCTATCTTTGCATGGTCAGCAGCATGGTGGAAGGGACTGGTGGAGGAAACCTGTTCATGACATGGTTGCCAGAAAGCAAAGAGGAGGGATGAGCCAGGGAGGGAGATACTCCATTCCGGGTCATGCCTCCAGTGACCCGCCTCTTCCAGTTACAGCCCCCATAATCTAATCACCTTCCCAAAGCCCCACTTGTGAGAGCATGAAGCTCTTCGGGGGCATGTAGATAAAAATCATCACACCTCATCTAGCTTATCCACTGGATCTGACACTGTAACTTCTGGCTATTCCCCAAAGTCAAGATGATCATAAAAGGTAAACATTTTGTATTGATTTACGACAGTAAGGCAGCCATAAGAGCTCAAATAAAACTCAAAAGTATATTTCCAAAACTGCCTCACAAAGTGGCAAGAACAATTGGATAAGTGTGTTTGAAGCAGGGGAAAGGGTGGAGTATTTTGAGAGGGCTAATGGTTATGTGTCTTTCACTGTAATAAATCTTAAAAATTAAATATTGGGCCGGGGACTTAGCTCAGTGGTGTTGCTGCCTGCCTTGCAAGCACAGGGTCCCAAGTTCGATCCCCAGTACCAAAAAAAAAATCAAATATTCACCCTATTTTTAAAATCACACCCATATAGATGTTCAAGGAAATTATATGCAATCTAGAATTCTGTATCCAGCTATACTGTTGAGTCTGTACATAAAATAAATACATTATCACACCCTAAGTTTCCAAAAGTTTACTTCCCATGTCTTCTTTTTAGGAAACTAAGACTCAGTGTTTCTTCAAAACTGGGTAATGAGAGTGAAAGATCTGGGATTCAAGAAGTGGGGGGTCTGAAAGGAGAGGAGTGAAAGGAATGCCTGGACCAGTGGTGGGGGAAAGCGCTCACTGGCCTGGCAGTGGGTCTTGCACTCCCTCTATACAAAGCTCATCAGAATGCAGGAGTATCAATAATGAGATTGAACATTCCGGGAGAGTATTTATGCTGCTGGAAAAGTATCAGAAGTTTCCTTCATAAATACATAGAAAACAGCCACATGAGAGATGAGCGAGTTATTCCAGCTAGAAGCACTTTTTTAAAAAAGAAATCATGGCATATTCTGTGGCTCGGAGTCAAGGAGAGTTTACATAGATAATAGTTAAAATGCAAGGTTATATATAACTATTATCTGTATAAACTCATTTGGAACAGTTGGAAGGAGAGTGTTTGTATTGTGTTCAAGGAAGAAACCTACACCTTTATCTTTCATAGTGAGAGGTCAGTACATTATGTTTGAAACTAAGTAAGTAATAGTAAGTTAAGCGCCTTAGTGAGAAAAAGAGGTAGCCAGGCATGGTGGCGCATGCCTATAACCCCAGCACTCAGGTGGCTGAGGCAGGAGGATGGCTGCAGGTTTGAGGCCAGCTTAGGCTACATAGTAAGTTCAAGGCCAGCCAGAGAATAGACTAAAACTTTGGGAAATGTTGCCTTTGCAGAGTGGAAAATGAAAGAAACAGGAGACACTGTTTTTTGCAAACAACACCGTAGACTATGTGAGGATTTAAACTGTGGTGCAGAAAGGTTGAAACTAGGGAATATTGCTATAAAATAGCAGTAAAAATTTAAAGACTGATTATGGAAATTAATTCCAAAAAATAGCAAAAGTACCATTAAGTTCTTGAAACTTGATCAAGTTATTAGGTATTCATTTGATTTTGTTACCTAAGCTTCCATACAGATAAATAGCTCATTGATATAGAGGTATGTTAGAGCTATTTCTGAAATGCCTTTAAAATGAAATTTCATGTTTCAATTCTTCCTGTGAACTTTCTTAAATGAAACAAAGTAATGTGAACCTCGAGGTTATTTCTGGTGAAATATTTTCAAAGGATTGTCTACATTTATTTCAGTGTAGAATAGTATGAATGTTCTTATGGAGTGTTATACCACAGTGATTTTTTTAAATTGATAAATGTGATAATTTCTGTGATTCTGAGTAATTGTGAACTTTAGGGATCTTTATTGCTCTTTTTTTTTTTCTTTTTGGTACTGGGGATCGAACTCGGGTCCTTGTGCTTGTGAGGCAGGCGCCCGAACCACTGAGCTAAATCCCCGGCCCCCTTTATTGTTCTTAGTTACTACTTAAACCTTTTGTGACTTAGGTTTGTTAGATGTAGCTTAAACAAATTACTATTTTGTGCCTATGTATCATTATGTATATAGATGGGTATAACCTAATTTAGGGAATAGCTTTAATATCAGTAGCTTGTATATGACCTTAGTATATGAAGATAATCTGAGGAAAACAATTTAATAAACTAAAGCCTCTGAGAATCAGTTAAATTTAACTGGGCTTCTGTGTTTAAGTGAAAATAAAATATTTTCAACTTGTTTTACTAAAATCAAAAACAAGAAGGTTAAACTAAAAAATACCAGCTTTTTATTTATTTTTATATTTTTTCTTCAGTATATTAAGTTAGTAGAGAAGAAAAGGCAGGGATCCTAGAGAAGAAAATTAGGAGTGCGGAAAATAAAAGATGAGGAGTCTTTGACACAGAACAGGAAAAAGATAAAATTATGATGCCCATAAATTCAGAGGCCTATGAAAACCAAGAGCAGGATGGATGTGCACAATAAGAAACTGTATGCACAAAGATTAAAGAATTGTCATGAAGCAGTTGTCATGTAAAAAAATCTTTCACATGTGTATTTTTTAAAATCTAGGTGAAATGGATCTTAATGACTTTTATGGCTTGGACTTGATTATATTTTTTGTTTTCTAGTAATTTGGAAATTTTTTAACTAGTAACTTAAAAATTTTAGGTATTCATCCCCTCTACTAATGAGTTAATATTTGAGTTCCTAGTACTATTGCAAAGAGGGAATAATTGTGAGATTAAAAACCACAAATATGGGCCGGGGATTTAGCTCAGTGGCTCCGCTGCCTGCCTTGCAAGCCAAGGACCCAAGTTCAATCCCCGGTACCAAAAAAAAAAAACTCCACAGATAATTGGTAAAACAAATATCTTTATACCTTTATCGTGTGTGTGTGTGATCTATATATATGTATGTACCTGTGTGAAGTAAGATTTTTAATTTTCCTGATTCAGATTGTCCTAATCTATTGCTATTTATTTTGTACTTTTATTAAAGGTGGGAACAGAGAAAAGATCCTCATGGTAGAACCTATTATGTAGATCATAACACTCGAACTACCACATGGGAGAGACCACAACCTTTACCTCCAGGGTAATGTAGTATTCTTGTGTATCTTCAGTTGTGTTTGTATCACACGTGTGTGTGTCTTTGTGAAATCACACGTGATTAAAAATTTTAAGTTTATTTAATACAGCATAATATAATATAATAGGCTCTTGCGATAAAATTTAAGATAGTCCCCACCAAATTTCTGGACAGTAGTTTTAATGAAATAAACTCCATATAGTGGTTATAAATGTATGGGTTAAATGAATGACCATAACATGGTGATCCTATCTGTAATTAAAATGAACCTTATGGTTTGCTTATTGCAGTATCAGGTCCATGTTTTCTAATAAGTTCTTATTTAATACTGTAGGATCAAGGCCTGAATACTTTCTTCCATAAATGAGACATATCTCACAAAAATCTGGAAGGACAGCTACTCTTGACTTTCAGAAACATTAAAAAATATATTACAGGTATAGACAGTGTGTTTAGGGGAGGAATATTAATGGTATAATTCCATGAGCTGTCAGTTCAATAAGGGATAGTTATGAAAGAATACAAAGGTGTAAAGGAAGATCATTTTGTAAATGACCTTGAAATATAACCTAATACCATGAACTTTATTTATTATGTAGTAAAAATATTTTACCAATTTTAGGCATAAAATAATGTAAGTTAGCTTGTAGCCATCTTTGTAGATAATTTTCATAACATATAAACTATTGTAATGTCTCCAAGTTATTAAATCTTATGAAATAATAGAGGTTAGAATACTGTGGAGAAATATACATAAGTGTTATTTGACCCCATTGTATTTTTAATATGTTACAGACAGAATTTCAAATTAGTTGCTGAAAGGATTCTAAGATAGTTGTTGTAGTATAAGTTAATGCCAAAATTTTATTCAATAGATCTCAGATAATGTGGGAAAAGTGAGAAGTGAACTCAACCCTGGAGCCTGAGCAGCATTGTGGTTGATAGAGAGTTAGGGATGACCTTGTGTTCTGCTGGAGTATTGAAAGAAAGAAGCACAGGACATACTTGAAAACAAGAGGTAGTTGTTTGGCTTTCGTATAGGGCCTTTGATGGATCTCAGGAAGATGACACTGAAAAAGTAGATGTGTTTATTTTCATCCCATGCCAAATTGCTGTAGTGGGTAGAATGACATGATTCCATCTGCACTTCAGGAACATAACTTGGAGTACATACAATATCAGGAAGGTGAGTTACAAAGCAACAGAAAGAGTTGAGGTGATATTTTGAAAATGGGCAGTGGTCAAATGGCAGATTGTTCGGAACATAAGTAAGCTCTCTCAGGAAATCCTTATCAGAAAAAGAGGGAGGAAGGTAGGGTTGAAACTGAAATTGTAGAATCAGTCATCTCTTTGTAAGGCAGTCTTTAGAAGTCGTGTTAGTGATAGAATGGTAATTTAGCTAAAATACATATTTCATTTTATATGAAATATAAAAATAAATTTATAAATTATTAGAATAATAAAAATTTTTTTCAGTTCTTTTATCATGTCTTGGACTGATTTTTAAATTATTTGAGTGAAGAATTAACTGTCTTTAAGTTTCTTATGTTGAAAGAATATTGTTTAATTCATTTTTATTATTGCTTATTTTATTTGTGATAGTTGGGAAAGAAGAGTTGATGATCGTGGAAGGGTTTATTATGTGGATCATAACACCAGAACAACAACATGGCAGCGGCCTACCATGGAATCCGTTCGAAATTTTGAACAGTGGCAATCTCAACGGAACCAGCTACAGGGAGCTATGCAACAGTTCAACCAGCGATACCTCTACTCGGTAATTATAAATACACCTCAGTCCCTCACACATTTGCCATTTTCTAGAATGCATTTCAAGATTTTTTTTTTAGTTAATCTTTAATAAATGTTTCTGATATATATAAGCATTTCCAAAAATTTTCAGGTTTTGGAGAATTTCAGATTAGAAATGAATGGTCAGTGTGTATATAGCATACAAGAAATTATGTACTGTTTAGATTTTGATGCTGTGACTTAGCTGTGGGCAAAAAACCCTTTGGGAAATGAATTAGGAATTAGATATGTTTCTGCAGATAAAAATCTCCTTTAAATAACTGAGTTTTAGCTATCTCAATAGAACAGCAAATCTAGGGTCTAGGACAAATACTGCATTGGCTCAGCAGTGCCATCAAATACCCAGAATCTTTCCGCCTCTTAGCTCACCAATCCTTATCGTGCATCATGCCCATTATTTCGTGCATATAGAGCTGATGCTCTCTGGGCCTCACTTCCAGGGGCTAGAACATAAAAAAAACATAAAGGGCAATTGAGAAGGAAGACAACTTTGGTCTAGCTATCTAATTATAATGTATATGCATACATAAAAATTGTTTTTATATGTGAATATACAAAAGGTACTAAGAAAAAGATAAAAGTTTATTTCTGTAAAGATGATTCTAAAGATACTGGTTTTACTAATAGACATTTGTTTTAAAGAGCACTATGACAGTTGTTTTATGTCAAGTAAATAAGATTCCCTCATGTAAATACCATAATTTTCTGTGTGCTTTTCATCTGTGTCATTTCACCCTATAGATTATTATGGAAGGACTTCTGGAGATTAAAAATACTGATAAAAATATATTCTTTTCTGATTTTTTTTTGGTACTGGGGATTGAACTTAGGACCTTGCGCTTTTGAGGCGGGTACAGTGCCACTGGGCTAAATCCCCAGTCCCCAAAATATATTCTAAATTATTTTAGAAAAATAATTTGATCAATTAGTTGAATGCTCTTACCTCATGACATTTGTAGAACTTGGTGTCTTAGAATTACTGTTTATATTCCTTTATCATAGATTTTTGAAGTGTGACTCTACCAAGTGCTTATCTTCTTCCTGTTTTTATATTAAAATACTGTTACTTTATTTTTTTACTCCAATGCCTTTACCAATCAGGCTTCAATGTTAGCTGCAGAAAATGACCCATATGGACCTTTGCCGCCAGGCTGGGGTAAGCTGATATTGTGTTGGTAAAAATATCTGTAAAATGTATACTTATATCAAATAGGCATTAAATGTTATACTCATTTTATTTTTAGAAAAAAGAGTGGATTCAACAGACAGGGTGTATTTTGTGAATCATAACACAAAAACAACTCAGTGGGAAGATCCAAGAACTCAAGGGTATGTATGTACACTACAGCCTTAGGTGTAAGTCATCTTCATATATCTGCAGATAGAATCAGTGAACCTTGAGTGCCTAGACAGTACTCACCTGAGATTGTAACTTTTTATGTTTTAGTTTGCAGAATGAAGAACCCTTGCCAGAAGGCTGGGAAATTAGGTATACTCGGGAAGGTGTTAGGTACTTCGTTGATCATAACACAAGAACCACAACATTCAAAGATCCTCGCAATGGGAAGTCATCTGTGTAAGAGAAAACCTAAAGTTCTCTTTAAATGCTGCTTTTTGATTCTGAAAGTAGTATCATAGTACACCTATCTTTGCTTTTATTCCAGAATGGATTTGTGCCATGTAATTCCTTAAATTATTTATATTATATACAACATATAATAACAATGGCAAACATATACATAGTAGTTACTACATGCCAAAGGTTGTTCTGAGCACTTTATATGTATTAGCTCATTTTATCTTTAAAAAATGAGATAGATACTTTATTTTCCTCTTTAGTAAGTAAGGAGACAGGTGTAGTGAATATACCTAAGCGCTGAGTCATAAGGCAAGTAATGGAGCTGGTTCGAGGCCAAGGCAGTCCATCTCTAGAATCTGCTCTTAGCTACCACGTCATACCACTGCAACAACAGGAAATGAGACACTCAGCAAAACTGAATTGCCGGGTGGATTCCTTAGTTAAGAAGTTGACAGATCTCTCTTCATCCCTACTCTTAGTTGTAATGTCTTTGTATCACTAAGAAAAGTGAAGCAGTCTCCACAAGTCTTTTGCAAATTCTCACTATCACATCTGCTACTCCAACTGGTATTTATCCTGTGTTCTTGTGTCAACTTGAGAACATATCCAGAATCCAGCTACATCTCATGACTTCCCCTGTCACCACTCTGGTCCAAGCTGTTACTGTCCTTCACGTGGAGTGGTAACAGAGTCTACTGTCTGTTTGCTTTCTCTTGACACTTTATATAGTGTTATGTGATTCTCTAGATAGCACAGAGACTGGTTTTATAAAAAAAAAAATCTAAATGTCATTCCTTAACATAAACCCCTCAGCGGTTTCCATCTCAAGCATGGTAAAAAGCAGTCTTTACAGTGGGCTCTCCAATCACATATAATCAGACCCTGTAACCTCTTCAGCTTCAGCTCATTTTCTCCTTCTTGTTCACTCTGCACTAACTTCATTGGTCACCTTGAACATTTTAAACTTCCACATCTGAGTATTAGCCCTCATTCCCTCTGCTAGGTATGTTCTTTGTCTGAATATCTGTATGAGTTATGCCCTCTTCGTCTTTATGTCTGTGCTCAAATGTTAAGTCCTCTATGAACCGTAATCTGTTAACCCTTTTCACAGTTGCAGAATTATTCTCCCCGTACCACTTACCATTTGTCCTTTTAATAAGGCCTTTTCTTTTAAAGGGAGTGATTAGACACACACCATATATAGTTACACATTTATGCTTACTGATTGTGTTTCTTGTCTGTCTCTCTCACCAGTGTATAAGTTCCAAAAAATAAGTTCTCTCCCTAGTGTATAAGTTCCATTTTTATCTGTCTCATTAACACGTAATGCTTTCACTGTCTAGAACTCCAGGTACAGGCTGTGTGTTCAGTAAATATTTGTTGGTTGAATGAATTCATTTAAATGTAGCACCACAAGGGAACATTTCTCATCTATTCTAAAATGTTCTCTATGATCGTAGAAGTTCTTTGTGCCCATATGTTAGGCTGTTATGCAGGAGGCAGGACCCTTGCCCTCTCACTTTGAGTTGAACCATATTGTAAGCTCTACATTCCTAACTGGCTCCCATCATGTCTTTTCTCTCTCTAAACATCTAAGTCATGTAACTTGAATATCACCTGTTCCTAGGAATTTGATTTTGCTTTGCTTATTATCTCAAGCAGTATGTATTTTGTTCAGATTAGTTTTAAGGTATGGTGCAATTTCAAAAAATAAATAAATAAAAAGAAGCTGGGGATTTAGCTCAGTGGTGCCACCTGCCTGCCTGCCTGCCTCACAAGCACAAGGTCCCGAGTTCGATCTCCAATACCAAATAGGTAGATAGGTAGATAGATAGACAGACAGGACACAATTTCTTTCCATGTCTCTTTTATTTAGAGGCTCTGTCCTTGGATTTTAAGGATTATCAAATAGTCTGCAGTTAACATTTCAGTTAACTACATAACAAAGACCTAGGTAGACTAACAAAGACTGCATGCAGTCTCTCCCTCCATGTGTGTTTTGTCACTGTAACGTACTCCTCCTGGCTCAGATTTCTATTGACCCACTAAATGTACCTTTATTCTTCTCCCAGCATGTAATTTAACTTTCCTTGGCCATATATAGGACTCTGGTACACTCTGGTTTCATAGTGAATATTAAAGATTTATTTTATTATAAATTAATGTTTGTTTCTGTTTTTCTTTAGAGCTAAGGGTGGTCCACAGATTGCTTATGAGCGCAGCTTTAGGTGGAAACTTGCTCACTTCCGTTATTTGTGCCAGGTACTATAGTGGTAAATAAATCTTATCTTTATAATAATTTAGTGATATCTTTATACTATGTATATACTATGGCTTATATATGATATATTTTTATTTTTAGTCTAATGCATTACCCAGTCATGTTAAGATCAATGTGTCCCGGCAGACATTATTTGAAGATTCCTTTCAACAGGTAAGGAAGATTTTATCAAAATAAACAATACTATGCACCTCATTTCATTCTATACAGCTAAAGGTAATTAGAGTTTTAGAAATTTAAAAGAATAATAATGACTTCCACATCTTGATGGCCATTTTAATAATAGTTATATTAAACCTCCCCATGTATTGAGTGATTGTCATTTGCAAATAGTTATCTGCTCCTCACATCATCCCTTTGAGATATAGCTTCTGTAATTGTCTCTTTTTAGATAGTGGAACTGAGATGGAGAGAATCATTCACAGATTGAGATGTATCCCTATTAAAATAAAGCTTAGGCTTTTGGAGCAAGTTGATCTCTTTTAGCACTACTTCTAACAAAAAAGTTTGATAAAACTAACAAAATCACATAGTCCGTTTGACTATTCTATTAATAATCCTAATGCTCATTCCCACCTTTGTCTTTTTAAAAGCAACCTTTTCTGAGCAAAATATGTCTGCCCTTCCTTAGTCATCTACAGAAGGTTTAAAAACAATACTGTTCATTTTTTATGGTGAAGTGGAGAATTTTCTAAATATGACTTGTCTCTCCCCTCCCAAGTAGGAAAATAATGAACCAAACATCCTTGTGTACTTAGGTACATAAGGGAGTTTAATTTATTCTTTGTATAGGCCAAAATGGAATAATAACATTGAAATTCTTGTTTAATTTTACTAGCTGTTAAACTTTGGACAAGGTAGTTAATGTAGCTATTAGCAGAACTTTTCTTGGGGTGGGGATGCGTTAGTAAATTCTTAGCAAAATAAATGTTTCAAGCTTCCAAGCAGTTTATTTAACCCGTGTTTCAGGTGACTTTACTAAGTTTACATCCAAATTCATGGCAGCCTTTATTTTGCTTTATACTCTCTTGGGGAGAATCATGATATGGTTTTGAACACGTGCGATTGAACCAATAACTGCCCCTGAAGGAGCCGTATTGTTGAGCTGTGCTCTGACCTAGACCTACCAGTCTTGACTATGTTCTGACATATGTGTGATGGAAGTAATTCATTCTTACTGAAAATAAAGCCTACCCACTAGTAAGATTGATGTAAGCTGTTAAAGATTATGAAACTTTTGGAGCAGGTTTTAAGATATATTATCCTGCATACAAATGTATCATGATATAAATGATTTTAGACAAGTTCTTTCCTACTAAGAAATAGAATGTGTGCTATAAGTTCTTTTGCCTCTTAAGTTTGCTATCCAGAAAAATCTGCAAGTTACCTATTTAAAAAACTACAGTTTTTTTTTTTTATTGGTACATTTTAAGTATACAATGTAATGACATTCATCATTGGAAATTTGCACCTTTACATAATCTGTCTTGGTTCTTATTTTTCCCCATTCCACTGGCCTCCCTTCAACCCCTCCATTCTTCCCTACTTACAAAGACTTTCCATTTCTTCATTTTCTCATACTAATTCCATTCCCTTCTTTCCTTTCCCCTCCCCCTCACATTTCCCCTTCCCCTTTGTGCCTTTTCTTCCTATTTCACATTATCTATTATACCTTTCAGGCCTTATTTACACTTTCAGTTTCTCACTCTAGAGAAACTATTTGGTATTTACACATGTGTGTTCTGTTTATTGAGTTTTGAAAGATTATTTAACATTAGCATTTTATAGAATATAAACTCAATTCAAGAGCCGAGGAAGAGATAGTGTTTTCAGCATACGGCACTAGAACACCTGATATCTGTATATAAAAAATGAACCTCAACCCTTTATTTCCGTACATGAAAATAACTTGCAAGGATCTGTGAACCTGAATATGAAAGCCTAAAAGTATAAAACTTTAAGAAGAAATTGTAAGGGGAAAATATTTACAAATTCAGGGTAGGCAAGAACTACCTAGGATACAAAAGACATGATTTATAAAAGAAAAAAATTGATAAATGAGATTCCATCAAAATTTAGAACTTTAAATGACATCATTAAAA